TGAGACAGGTACTAGTGGAGGACCTATCATCACATACCCACGTCATCCCGAGGCATAGTGGTGAGCTGCCTTTCTGAGCCGTTCTGCAGCTATCAGTGTCTCTTCTTATATTTACATTCTGTCTATTTCATTTGAGACAGTATTTGGAGTTTTGTATAACCTACTAGATGCTCATGCACTTGTGACACTAGGTCTTGGCACACACATTGGTAGAGTTTGGGTTTTATTATATTTTCTTGGTTTTAAATTTTATCAATATATGCTTAATTTATTAATTGGCTTGCCTAGCCGTAGTGTTGGGCGCCATCACGACCTACAGGTGAAATTGGGTCGTGACAACATGGTATCAGAGCACTAGGTTCACGTAGGTCTTACAAGTTATGAGCAGACTTAATAGAGTCTTGCGGATCAGTATAGAGACGTCCGTACTTATCTTCGAGAGGCTATAGGGTGTTAGGAAACTACCTTTCTTCATATTCCATCGTGCAATTAATGTAATACTAAATATCCTTCTCTTATTCTCTCACAGATGGTGAGAACGCGCTCTAATGAGGTTCCAGACCAGGGAAGAGCTACTACCCCAGTTGCTAGAGGCCGAGGCAGAGGCCGAGGGAGGTCTCCAGCCCGTGGTAGAGGGCGAGGACGTCCCAGGACTGTTCTAGTTATGCTGCCAATGGGTCCAGAAGAGAATCCCATTATTGAGGAGCAGGGTGAGGTGTCTGTGGCAGAGCCAGCTCCGGTGGATTTCACATCTGCACCGGGATTTCAGGTTGTCATGGGTCGTGTGCTGCGATTCATGGACAATATGACTCAGGCTGGTTTATTTTCGGCAGACCCAGCCACATCTCAGGCGGGCGGGGGAGCACAGACCCCTACCGCACAGGCCCATGGACAGGCAGCTGTTGTATATCAGACCCAGGGTGCACTACCGGTGGGTGGAGCCCAGCCAGTGGCAGCAGATACACCTGAGCCCAGGCCAGTTGTAGCCGCTGATCCTCAGAAACTATTGGGCAGATGGACTAGACTATATAACAGCGCCTTCTGGCCGCAATATACGGTCCATCTCTAAGAGAATGTCTTCAAAGTCACACCTACATGATCAACAAACAAGAAAATCAACACAGAACCACTAATATGGCTAAAAGCATAAAAGCAATTTGTGCTTTTTTCCCCCATTGTATTCTTGAATTTTTTCCTCTATTTGTAGGAATAAACTACAGGCCACCCCATGCTTGATTTTGAAGTTACTCCTTAATATTACCTTAAAGTTTAAGGGGTTAAATATTTAACTAATCCATCCCAATTTGCTTGTCTATTTTTCCTTTTAGCCTACACTAATGCCCCAGACCTGTTCTAGTTACTTAACTCATCTCCAAGTATTTGAGTCAAGGTGAAGCATCCCACACCCTATTGCTTTAGCATTGAATTCAGATTTGGATAATCCAGCCAACCTCCAAAAATGCTATTAAATTTGACATATCTCTTAACTCTATACAATTAGTAAACTTCGGCTTAGCCAGAAGGGTCGCCTACCGAAGAAGGATTATGTCACAAAATAACCAAAACAGACACCCTAAACTTGGTAACTTCAGTTACAAACAAGATGCACCAACAAAAAATTTGAGTTGGTCTAGGAAAAGGGGATGGAGTTTTATGCACTATATAATAGTTTTGCTATTCGCATAAAGTTCCGCTTCAGAATGGGATTCAAAGGAGGCAATAAGATGCACTCCCTTAGCTTCCATTTTTATGACGGTACTGACTCTTGACCAAGTTTAAGATGTTAATTTGACTTGTCCATTATATTGGTGATTAAGAAGATAAAATATTAAAAGTAATAGTTGAATGGTTAGTTTGATGGAAACATCACATTAAAGCTTAAAAGTTGAATATTTTAATGATTTTGATTTTTTGAAAGTTGTAAAGCTTGCATAGAAATGGATTGCTTTCAAACATTTGGAACGTACTAAAACTAGAAGAGTGTCACACTAATATAAATTGGGACAGAGGGTGTAACTTGAAGATGTTTAGCTTAACCACACTAATACTCCGACTTATTCTTTATTTAAAACCAATTCAGATCATTTTTGAGCTTGTTTTCAGTTCTGAAGGAGAAAACCAGCAAATATTTGTGACGTGCAATTCAAGTCGCCACTGAGCCAATTAGAGAGGGCATACAATATAACCTCCAATAAGACATCGGCTTCCAGTCCAATTCTTTAGAGCCACAATACTATATAAGATTTTAGATATATAAGGTTCACGATCTCAATGAGGAACACGCTGAAATGCTATGGTACAAAAAAAAAAAGAAAAAAGGAAAAAGATGGAATACATACTTGTCCTTGTATAAACTGAAAAGACCATGAGCATGAATGAGATCGTAAGTCCTTGGGTACGTAGAGAATGCTTCACACCTGAATCACAATATAACTGTGATCAGAGAGTAGCTTTCAGCAGAATAAGAGGAATAGAAAATCACTGAATAGAGTAAGATACACAGTTTGATCTCCTTAAGAAAAGACAAAATAGACAAAACAATTTGATGAAAATGTAGCCTGCATAGGATTGATATTCATCCCCCATTTCCACCAAGCAGAAAAGATTCGATGTTAAACCAAATGCAGCATATACTGTTGCATATAGGTATGTTGCGTGCATATGGATAATTAACTTTAAAACCCTTGATATTGAAGGCCTCACACAAAGATCTCAAGTTCAGCGTCCTCTAAGGTTAATATGTTACTACTATACCTAAACCCGGAGTACAAGTGCAAACTAACATAGAAAGGAACGAAATATTTGATCAAGGGTTTCCTTTCATAAGATAATTCCTTAATTCTTCTCAAGGTCATTGATAATAGAGCAAAGGTTTCCTCTGATGGTCCTTGCATTTACAACCAAAAAACTAGAGAATACATGATTAATAATCACAACCACAAATGTATATAGTGTGAATGAGTCACAACTACTATACCAAAAATTATGACAACCACTAAATAATAAACAAGACAATAAGACAACAATAAAAGAACACCAGAATTTACGAGGTTCGGCCAATTTTGCCTACTTCCTCGGACACAATCAATATTTTATTCCACTCCAAAATTACAAGTGAAATAATACTAAAGAGAGAAGATACAAATGCCTTAAGAAGATAAAAGGCAAATGAGAGGTGTGTTTAAATCCTAAACATTAGGCCTCCTTTTATAGGGTGAAATTCTCATTCAAAATTGTCATCCACCGATGTGGTACTTTTGCCAATTTCAACAATAATCACAACCACAAAAATTGAGTGATAAGAATACTGCAACTTCCTGTAAACGACAAACAGTTATCCTTGATATATTACCAAGCCACAATCATACCAGATAAGTACATCTTGAGCATATGAGAGAATGAAGCCATACCAGTCATGATAAATTCCGATAAGCCCTCGTTCATATATAACCCCCAAGGTATTTTTCTCGGTTATTGTTGGCATAACATTCATAACCCACATTTTGGAAGAATGAAGAGCTGCAGCAAAACCTCCAAGTCCAGCATTCATATCCATGATGTTACGGTACCTTCCTGTGTCGATGAGTTTGTTAATTTTCGTATAAGCACTTACATGCTTCTTCCATTTCTTGTTGTCTTCCAGATATGCCTCAACGGAGACTCCAGAAACTAGTCCATTAGCAATGCGTGGGGGAACAGCATAAAGTCTCTCAGGGAATGGCTTTAGACCCTCATCATCACCATTACCTTTGCTTGGTGTTGTGCATCCCTCCATTTTCTTGTACCTGATCAAAAGAAGCAAAACAATGGAATAACTACGAAACTTGATTTGCAATATTTATTTGCAGTGCAATGTACAAGTAATGTTGGATGCATTAATCCACCATATCAGATTATCACAAATCTTTAAGTACAAAGATTTCTAGATATCTTTCCGCATACTGAGACCTTGAAACAAACTTCTTCTTAGGAAGTAGTTTACGTAAGTCCAAAAAGTACTCATAAAATTTTAGCATTGGTGACATAATCGAGTTTCTTTAAGACAGCAAAAGAGAAAACCTTGGTTACAGTAGCATAAAATTTGCCACTCATGTGAGGCAAGAAGCACATTCTCCTTAGCATTTTCTTGAAGTACAGATGAATTTCTAACATATAAAACTGAACTATTTAGAATGATGACGTACCAGACATCATCTGGATCTGCAGATTTACAAAACGTAGCTGCAGAATCTTCTTGTTCTGAATGGCATGACTCAGCATCCATCCTTTTCTGCCAAATTGCAGTCTCTCCCTTCTCAGATTTCTTCTCCCAGCAAAGACGTTTAGCAATATCTTCAATCTTCCTTTGTTCTTCCTGAAGTTCCTCCTTGGGTCGTTGCCACGCCTTGTAATTAGTCTTCCAATTGATAGGAGGGCCAGAAAGCACCCAATAACCGCCAGGTCTAAGAACTCTATCAACTTCCATCATGAGTATTCCATCTGCAAGAAGAAAGTAAAAAATATGCAACCAAAGCCGTGCTACCGAAAAGGTTAACAAGTAAAAGGAGCAAAGTAAAACTAATTGTCTTGCAAAATTGAAAAACATCACACTTGTTCATATTGCAAAGTAGGTATTCTTGCTACCAAAAAGCATTCATACCAGCAGCTCCCCATGGGATTAGACAACGAGAACAATGAGCCATATCAAACGCCTTAGATGGGTATGGCATTTTGACTGTTCCTAGTACGCCAATAACAGCGGGCACACCCCTTTCAAGAGCGAACTGAACCTGAGCTTCATGTGAGTCTCTGGGGGCAAATGACATTGCTATGACATTCCTTTTCCAAAGATAAGCACCCCAACTTGCAACCTAGGATTCATAAAGCATTGTTAGACAAAGCACCCATCACAATAACGAGAAATTCTTTCCAAGTAGGTGAAGAAACTGAGACACAGATATCTTTTGGTATAAGAGAGGATTTCACAGTAGAAAGCATACCCCACAACCAGTGTCCAGAGCTGTCCGAACAGTTCCATTTTGAATCGGGATTACTGAAGCAAGCTGATCAATATACTTATCTGCTCCTTGAGGAAACTGTGTCCCTCCTCCAGGAAACCTAAACACATTACCTTCATACTGAATCCAGTTTTGAATGGCCTTCTCGACGGTCAAGCTCTTATATGGAGCATTTGCATATGGA